GAAGAAGTCCGTCTTAAGACTCTTTCTGGAAAGGGTTTTCTTCCATTGCCTAATCAGACGGTACTGGCTGTACCATCCAGAGGGACTTCTCATTCACAGATTAAATATTGGTGTTGAGCTGTTTCAGATGAGTGTAGTTTTTGTCGTGAGAAGTGTCACTGGAAGGCTCAATGTCCTAAATTAGTAAACAAGAATGCTAAAGGGGCCTTACAACAACCATTTAGGCCCAAAGATCGTCATACAGCCGCAGCTGCTTCACTAGTGGATGAGACACTCCCATCAGCTCCTAGCATGACTATGATAGCTGATCAGTTGTAGAAGCTTCTCTCCCTTCATCAATCAGTGCCCTATCAATTTCTTCTTCCACAGGTTCATTTACTACAGGACCTTCAAATATCTCTCGAACTACCTGGGTCTTTGACTCAGGAGCCACCTATCGTATGATTAGTAATTCTTCCTTATTTGTTTCTATTGTTTCTCCTCCCTCTATATCTGTTCTTCCAGCCAATGGCACCCAAATGTCTTTGGTTGGTGTTGGAATTATTGTGTTCTTTCAGCTTACACTTTCTGATGTCTACTATATTCCTCAACTTACTTTAAATTTAATATCTATTAGTCAGTTGTTTAATTCGGAATTTTTAGTTCATTTTTCTTCTACTGGTTGTGTTGTGCAGGATTCACAGTCCAAGAAGCTGATTGTGACAGGCCATAAAAATGGAGGGTTATATGTGTTGGACGAACTTCATGTCCTTGAAGTTGTTGCATCTACTGTTGATTTATCTTCTTTTCAATTGAGTCCTAAATCGTCTATTTTTTATTTATGGCATTCTCGTTTAGGTCATGTTTCTCATTGTCATTTAAAATTTTTAGCTTTTACTAGTAGTTTGGATAGTTTAGAGTGTCATGATATTTCAGATTATAGTGGTTGTAAGTTGGCTAAATTTACTGCATTACCTTTCGATAAAAGTAATTTTCGTTCCCTTGCACCTTTTGATCTTGTACATTTTGATATTTGGGGACTAACTTCTATTGCTACTATAATGGAGTTTAGATATTATGTTTCTTTTATTGACGATTATATCAGATATTGTTGGGTGTATCTAATGACACGTAGGTCTGAGTTCTTTTCTATTTTCTCTACCTTTCGTGCTATGGTGCGTACTCAATATTCTTTTAGCATCAAATGTTTCCGTTGTGATCAAGGTGGAGAATATTCTTTTAGTGTTTTTTGTGATTTGTTAAAATCTGATGGTACTATTTTTTCAGTCTTCTTGTACTGACACACCTACTTAGATTAGAGTGGTAGAACGGAAACATTGTCACATTATTGAGACAACTCGTTCTCTGTTGTCATCCAGTGTCCCTAGTTCTTTTTGGGGAGAAGCAATTCTTATAGCAGTTCATCTGATTAATTGCATTCGTACAATCTTTAATTCTGGTGTCTCACCTTTTGAAAAATTATGTGATAAGACACCTGACTATTTCTCCTTACGTGTGTTTGGATGTACATTTTTTGTTCTACTACCTAGTGTTAATCGTACCAAACTCTCGGCTTGTTCAGCTTTATGTGTTTTCCTTGGCTACGGTGAGAGACAAAAGAAATTTCGGTGTTATGATCCTAGTACACAAAAACTCTATGTTTTTCACCATGTTGTCTTTATGGAGCATATACTTTTTTTTTTATTCCATCTAGTCCTTCATCTCTGTATAAATCTGATCTTATCTATCTTGATCTCTTTCCCTCTGATGTTTCTTTTGATTCTTATGTTGGTGATATGACTGTGACTAATTGTCCCTCCTCCTCTTCTTCCTCTTTGCCTGATTTGTCTGTTACCCTTTCCCTGATTGTGCATACTTGTGTTCACAGAACTCCTACTATCTCCTTCACAGATATTGTGCCTTCATCTACACCTCTTGGTTCTCAATCAATTTCTGACACTGTGGATCACACTCCACGTTACCCTCAGTGCACTTGAAAGTGTCCTGACAGGTTTGGTTGGTTCAACTCTTGCTATTCTTCTGCATTTTGTTCTTTCTTGACTTATATACATTCTTTGTTTAAACCAACCTCCTATAAGAAGGCTATACTTGATCCTCTTTAGTAATAGGCTATGGATGAGGAGCTTTCTGCGTTACACAATACTCGAGTTTGGGAGTTGGTGCCTTTACCTCCTGGTAAACGCCCCATTGGTTGTAAGTGGGTTTATAAAATCAAAATCCAATCTGATGGTTCTATGGAAAGGTACAAAGCTAGATTAGTAGCCAAGGGTTTTGCTCAAGTGTATGGGCTTGACTATGATGCAATTTTTGCTCCAGTGGCTAAGGTGACCACGATTCACACAATAATTGCTGTGGCAGCTGTTCGTCAGTGGAGCCTATCCTAGATGGATGTGAAAAATACTTTTCTTCATGGTGATTTGTCTGAAGAGGTCTATATGACTCCTCCTGGGTTGCCTTGTAGTCCCGGTCATGTGTGTAAACTTCACGAGACTGTATATGGTCTTAAATAGGCCCCGAGGGCATGATTTGCAAGATTTTTTTCAGTCATATGTGACTTAGGCTTCTATACTAGTGATAATGATTTTGCTCTCTTTCTTTGATCCACTTCTTCTAGTTTCATACTTCTATTACTTTATGTGGATGACACGATTATTACAGGTGAGACAATGATGAAATTCAGTTGTTGAAAACTCAGTTACACGATTATTTTGAGATGAAGGATTTGGGTCAACTTCGATAATTCTTAGAGATTGAGGTTGCTTCCTCTCCCATGGGTTATTTTCTTTCTCAGTCAAAATATACCTCAAATGTTATTCAACGAGCTGGCTTATCGGATACTCGAACTGTTTACACACCCTTAGAGCTTAATGTTCGTTATACTTCCTCTAATGGTTCTCTCCTGCTTGATCCTACCTTGTATTATACTATTGTTGGGAGTTTGGTGTATCTTATTGTTACTCGTCTAGGTATTGCTTATGCGGTTCCAGTGGTTAGTTAGTTTGTTGCTGCTCTTACCACATTTCACTAGTCTACTGTTCTTTGGATTCTTCGATATATACGGGGTACGTTACATCAGAGTTTATTATTTTCTTCTTCTTCTTCGTCTCTGGAGCTCCGTGCTTACTCACTCTGATGCAGACTGGGTTGGTGACTCTATGGATCGTAAATCCACCACTGATTTTTGTCTCTTTTTTTTGTGATTCTTTTATTTCTTGGAAAAACAAGAAAAAAACTGTTGTAGCTCGCTCTACTGCTGAAGTTAAGTATCGTGCTATGACATCTACCACAACAGAGATAATTTGGTTGCGTTGGTTGTTTGCTGATCTTGGCATTTCATTGACGACTCCTACTCCTATGTATTGTGATAACACCAGTGTTATCCAGATTGCTTACAACTCAGTGTTTTATGAGCGCACCAAACATATAGAGATTGATTGTCACTTTATAAGCCATCATCTTCAGCTGGGCACGATCTCTCTCCCATATCTTCCTTATACTATGCAGTTGGCCGATTTCTTCACCAAATCTCACACTATTGCACTCTTTTGTTTTCTTTTTGGCAAACTCTTGATGTTGGATGCTATCACATCATGAGTTTGAGAGGGAGATATTAGAGTAATCTAATATATTAGTATTAGGGGTAGATTAGTCATTTATATTATTATATTTTGTCCTAGTATAAATTCGTTTGTAATATAAATCTGGTTTAGACTTAATCAATATATTTTTCCTCTGTCATTGATAAACATCAACAGATGTAAAATTGGAGAGATTCCGTTTGTACAGAGTGAATACTAATAGACATGTTAACAGGTCCCATTAGTTTGTATCTAGCAAAATTTTAACACTACGTATTTCTTCAGTTTTGAGTTTGCGCTTTAACCTCTGAGGTTAATTTTAACAAAATTTTAAGGTTTGACATATGTTATACTTGAAACAAAGTTGGAGGTTGTTGTCATCCATTATGAAACTCATTAGTTCCTCAGTTAATTGAATCTAAGCATATGAATGTTTTTCATCTATTTGATGGTAAAAGAGAAATGCTTGGGTGTTTCGTTTGATCCTTTTAGGTTGAACTATGCAGAAATGGAGACCCTGGGTTATTGTGATGGGTTAGGGAGGACTGCATACCCCAACCAAAAAAAAAAATAAATAAATAGCAAAAATCCCTAAGGTACCTTTACCAAAGTCACAATAATATGGTTGGAATTCATATGACTTCATTGACATCCTGTGAGCTCTTTACCATGCCCAAGACATTAATTATTGGCAGAAAATAATTGGGATATATCAATGCATCAGATTAAAGCTATTAATTAATTTTGATTTATATTTTGGATGAATTTCCTGTTTTTGAGGCTTGTGTGTGGTAAACTTTTATCTGCCTAAATGTGTGATAATCCAATATTATGATAAACACACTGTTGTTTCCAAAATTCTTTCATGAATGTGGAAATTGTTGTTTTGCAATTGATCTGTGGCATGTGGTAAAAAATCTCCCTTTAGGAACTTTCTTTTTCAGAGCTTTCTATATTAGAGCGTAATAGTTTGGTCTATTATTTGAACGAGTTAGTCATTTCTGGGCTTACAAGCAAATTATCTGCTGGAAGCTGTTAGAATGGACTGGCAACTTAGAGGAGTGCATTCAATTTTATTGAGGTTTGTGGAAAGTTTACTTGGGAAAGGAGATTTGAGTATGTTTAAATTCAACGTCCAAGTAATTTAGTGTTTCATGCAGTATTTGAAAACTTTCAGTTTTCCATCTTGGAACAACTTTATATTTGATTCAACATTTTAAGTTTATACTGGCCAAGGGTTGGGGGGAGCAATTTCATAATGTAAAGTCAGGTTTTTGTCGGTGTGGCTCTTACCCGTCTACCCCCACCCCGTTCCCCGGGGCCATGTGGGTGGATGGGGTTGGCTTATGTGGTTTTTCAGTTGATGGGGTTGGCACTGTGTTCTGTAATGAGTCCATATGAGTGAATGTTATGTGGTTTACTATGCTAGGGGAAACAGGCGTAAAACATGGCTTATGTTGCCTTCTTGTGCAGTATTATGTTGAACCAGTCTCAGGACGTCGATTCCGGTCAAAAAAGGAAGTGTTTTACTTCCTTGAAACAGGAAGCATGCCGCCCAAGAAGAAGTTAAATCAAACTGCTGATGTTGCGGTGAGTGAATTGATCTTTGTTTTGTTAAGTTTTGAAATAGTTTTGTTCAAAGTTTTACATTTAGTACTTTCCGTAGGGGCTGCCAAATCCCAAGAAAGTTCAAATGCCTATTTTTATTTATTTATTTGTTTGAACATGTAGCATGATTACTTTTGCAGCCTTCCAATAGTGTTGGTGGCCCCAGCCAAAAGCAGTCTGGTTCAGGGGCGAACATTACTGGTTTTAATTTCGATCTTAAGAGTCCACCAGGAAAAGTCTCCTGGGTTTTGGCAAATGATTCTGAGAACATATGGACACCTTCTGCTGGTGGTAAAACAGTTCCTGAATCCACTAAGCGAGAGTGGGAAGCTGTATTTTTGAATGTCTCAAAGCGCAGAAAGAAGAATGGTACCTCAAGTTGACGGCATATCCACTTGAAGACATGAAATTAAGGGGCACAAATCTGTGACTGGCCAATTATAGACTTTTTTGTTTTATCCCGTCTCCTGTGCTTTAAAATGACTTGAATATATTAGAGTCAAATGTGAATTGCCGCTTAACTGTTATGGTTCTTTCATTCTCCACATAGGGTAGTTTCTTCTTTTTGATTCAGGATGAGATTCTGTGCAATGTTGTTTGTTTAGAAAATGGCCATTTCTGATAATATTTTGTGAAGTGGGGAACATTCCGATTTTCGTTTTTCTGTAAGAATTTATCCTTTCAATGGTGGCAGATTACTATGAGGGCCATCCAAATTTGAGGATGGGTAGACATGTTTTCCTCTCCCCCTTGAAGAGGAAAACATTAAAAGCTTAAAGTCTCCTGGGTCTCATTTTTGTTGAAAAGCTTGCGAAGGAACAGTGTATATGAGCTTTTCGACTGTCCTTGTACAAAATGCATATGCAGTTGCATGAGTAAAACATGCGCATGTGGCACTTGGTTATTGGGTTCTGATACAAACCATTTCCGATGAGCTATGAAGCATGGATATGGATACAGAATACGGGTACGATACGATATGGATACGGTGATACAGTAAAATCTAAAAAAATAAAATACGCGTACGACTAAGATACGGTTATAATAAAATATATTTAATATTTTTATTATTTTTAACTAACTTAATATTTATATATTTTGATAGTTATTTAACATATAATAAGAAAAATTAGTAATTTTTTTTAGTTTCAAGAAAATATATATTGTGTCGTCGTGGTATATTAACAAAGTGAAGTGATTAATTAAAGTAATCAAAGTTAATATTTACCTAGTATTTAGAAGTAATTTTTGCTAAGATTATAATGTAATAACTTTATTTTATACTCTTTTGACATGTAATTATAGATAATACTTAAAAAACACTCATGCGCTTTTGAAGTACTATAATTTTTTTGTTAATGTATTATATGGTATGTGAATTCGAAAAGAGATGTAAAAAGTTCAACTAAAAAATTATATATGTTGTTCGACTATAAAAGTATCCGTGAAGTATCATAATATTTAATTATTATCAGATACGTAGAAGGTGTATCTGATACGTATCTTCAAGTATCCGACGAGTATCATATCGATACGGTATCCGATACGAATACGTTAACTTCACAAAGTATCTGTGCTTCATACTCGATGAGTGATTGGGTATTGACGGGGCACTGGCGGCGATCCAATTGTATGTTGACAAGTGTCAACCCATGGTGGTCTAAGTAATCAGGACCTCTCGGACTCGAGGAGCACAATGCACCCAGAGCATTAATGGCCTATTCTTGCACCCTGAACAACGTGTTGATACAGGGTGGTTATTCAGAAGTCGAGGGGAATTGTGAGGTCCTCTGCTCCATATCTAAAAGTACTTGGCCCCAGCCTGAGCACTTATGACCAAGATGTTCATAATGGTCGAGATAGAGTCATCAATGCACGGCTCACTCCGACGCACTAAGCTTTGACATCAGGTTGCTTCGATTAATGAGGTGTGGTACCGACACTCATTATGCTTTGACATCAGGTTGCCTTGATTAATGAGGTGTGGTACAGACACTCATTATGCTAGGCAAATGGGTTAGGATAGACATTAATGACTAAGATGTGAGAGGCATTATGACAGACACAGGTATAAATACACAGTTATACACAAAATGAAGGTACGGAAGCTAAAAACGATTTGCATTGAATACCCTAAACACTTATACGCTGACTAACTTAAATTTCGGAGGGAAAAAACTGGTGTTCACTTGACTCCTTTCCTAACATTGCTTATTGTTCGTAGAATTGTTTGAAGGATCACCAACATGGATCACTATCTTAACTCATTGCAGGAATTTTTTTGTGCAATTTGACACCGTCTATCAGAAATATATGAATCTGACTTCCCCGTTATGGTACACTATGGTGAATACGAGAGCCCGGAAGGAAGGAGGATAGGTTACCTGCTAGGAATGCGAGGGTTACATCCTTCCCCAATGGAGTTTGGCATAATTCCCAGCACACCCATCCAAATTGATCAAAGTCTGGGGGGCACAGGTTTTGGCCCAGGATATAATGATCGAGGAATGACTCGACGATCGGCTAAAATGGTTCAAGCGCAACAATATCAATGTCCTTAAATAGATAAGTGATTTTGAGCATTTAGAGGGCGACAACCAACGTAGTCGATGACGAGAACCCTATCCCTTGAAGTGAGAGTGTTCCCCTGAGGATGCCTCTAAGGGAAAGGGGGAAACGTGGGCGAGCATTACTTCGTCGAGACCTGCGTCAGGGGTATTCAGGTGTTGCTAGAGGATTGACTTCTCAAGCCGGTTCAACAACTTCCACTAAGCCGGGGGATCCGAAGCATACAAGGGATTCTAGGTGCCAAAACGAGCATAGGGAGCTGGGGGACAATGATACGGAGGATGAGTAGGTGGTGTACCCCTTCATCTGGAGCATCAGAGAAGTTTGAATGCCAAAGAAGTTTGTTGTACCCCTCTTCAAGGTGTACAATGGGCTAACAGATCTGGAGAGTCATCTTCGACAGTATAAACAACTATTGTCAATCTACACCACTGACCACAAATTGTTATGCCAAGAATTTTTCATGAGCCTGGGAGATACTATCATGATGTGGTATGAGAGCCTCACTCCGAATAGGATTTGGTCATGAGGTAAATGATTGAACAATTCACGGCTTGGTTCATTACTAGTGGCAAAAAGCTGAAGGATGTCGGTGTGCTGCTCACACTTAAGCGAAAGGTGGGTGAGGGCTTTTGGTAGTACGCTACACCGTTATTGGGAAGAGGTGAATGAAGCCGAGGGATGCTCCAAGACAATGGTCGTTGTGATGTTCAAACTCGGGTTGTCCTGAGATACAAACTTGTACAAGTCCTTGACTCTGGACATGAGGGACTTGATGTCCCGCATCAACAAGTACTCTAGGGTGGAGGAGGAGACCATGGCGGTTTCGACCAAAGCCAGCAGGTTTTGGCATGTCAAGTTTGCTCCGATAATCCTACAAGCGGTCTATAATGACCCCAATTTGTTGGCAAGCCTGAGATCAAATATGAAGTGGTAAGAAAATTGGAGGGGAATAAGGGGAAAGATGACGTTCAAGTGCTTGTGTAACTTACCACCAAGTTATGTTGAATGACTCCTTGAAGAAGGCAATTGTCAAGGTATCCTTGGTGGATGGCTATGTCAGTCTCAAACTACAGTGATCCACTGACTATGAGAGCTATACGTTGGTCGAGTGGATGATGGAGTCTGACTCTGAGACGACCTTGCCTTTGTGAGTGACGGCCCATGGGTTCCATTTCACGGCGGCAACGTCCTCGGGTTGGCAGTCGTGATGATGTTTGATTTGATGCTCGGTGTCAAGGTTGTCCTCCAGCCCTCGTCGCTGCCTATGAGGGGCATCAGGGAGACTTGTCTAGGAGGGGGAACAACTTGACGACATCGCTGCTGCTATTGCTATTGTTGTTGTTGAGGTGGTTGTTGATGTTGCTGTTGTTGTTGCGGGGTAGTTAGGGGGCAGTCCCAGAAACCTCACCTAGATCGGAGGCAGAGGTCCTCTTAGCCACTGCGGCAACCTCCAAGGTTTCGATGGTGGTGATGAAAGGGAGACGAAACATCTAGACTTAGGGATCGGATGCAGAAAGGGTAGCTTCAGAGTCTTGGTCAGGATCCCTCTCTGGGTCTTCCTCTTCATCTCCCGAAGAATGATCAGTCCAGAGAGAAAGGTTGAATGGCTTGGGGATCTATGAGAAACGTGTATAGCAGGGTTGATATCCCAAGAGTACATGAGCAGCCCAAGCAAAGGGATTCTCCAGTTGGTACATCCACACCTTCACAAGATCGTCGAAGGCAACTTAGACTTTGAGCGGCTGCGCAGCCTCTCTCTTGTAACCCTCTACATACAAACAAAGAAAAGGGTAAGTAGGATGTCCCAGCTTAGAGAAATCAAATACGACGTAGTGGAGACACACACACACACACCTAGTTCCCTCATTTCCTTGTGGCATAGAGGCCGTTGTACTCGGGTCCATCACCAGTGTCCCATCTTCCACTGAGCATGAGGAGGTCCTGGGTGTAGCCCTTGCCTGAGTGGGGCATATGTGTCACCAAGAACATGGTGGGGTCTCGACATTTGAGAAAGAATTTTTGGTTGCTAGCTATCTTCATGTCATAACAAAAAAAGAATTTTGTCGACCCTGAGGTTGATCCTCAACCACGCATTGAGGGTGATGACACCCATTACCACCCTAAAAAAATTTATACAACACTGGCGGGGAAAAATATAAAAATGCATAAGAAATCAAAGAAGAAGAGGCGGAAGAGGGAACCTCATACTGTCTTCAATAACGTCCTTGGTATGAAAGGGCATGAGATCATCAGAACCTACATCTTCCCTATGGAATTAAGGGACAAAAACAAGGGTCGAGACGCTGTTGGGGATATTGTAGGTGGACCTAAAATCATTTAAAGTGGACTTGTCCACTTCAGTTTTCCTAAGTTTTTGGCCTCTCCTAATTGCCCTAGGAATTTTGGTTCTAGGGGGTCTAGTCATCAGTATTTGTAGGAGAAGAAAGAAGAAAAATGAAGAAGAAGGGATGAGGATACTTATACCAATGTAGAAGCTGGCCTCGATGGAGAACTACTTAGGAGATCGGGGGTCCGAGAAAGCAAATCATCTGAAAAGTCTCTTTGTGTCTAACCCATGTCCTATTTTTACTAAACCATGATTGAGGTGGTAATCGAGAAGGTGACGGTAATAATTGAAATTCAAAAATAGGTGGCAAACGCGCTTGTAACCGCCCATGAAAGGGAGGTGTGTTGAGGAGGCCTCTATCCCATGGTGACACTTGTACCACAATGTGAGGGAAATGAATGCGAGGGGGTAGTTGATGGAACATTGGCGGTGATCTAATTGTACGCTGACATGTGTTGACCCATAGCGGTCTAAGCAATTAGGACCTCTCAAACCCGAGGAGCACAATGCACCCAAGGCAATAATGGCCTGTTCTTGCACCCCGAGCAGCATGTTGATACATGGTGGTTAACCAGAAGTTGGGGGTCCTTGGCTTCATGTCTAATAGTACTCGGCCCCAGCCCGAGCACTTGTGACCAGGATGTTCATAATGGTTGGGATGGAGTCATCAATGTGTGGTCCATGATTAGTACTTAAATGTAGCATGTTAGTATGCCTTTTTAGGACTAATTATACTTTGATGGAGTTCAAGTAAGGATATTTCAGGTTCTAAAGTGAACAAGGGCTCGAGGGCAACAAAAGTCACACTTGAATGTCGCACCAGCACATTAGGGAATGAAATTGGAGAGGCTTGGAACAAAGCAAGAACGTTCAAACGTCAACTCATGTTCGAACGTCCATTTGAACTATGACAAAACTAGCCTGCTGAGACACAGTGCGTTGCAATCAAGCACCATGACCCTCAGGTACTTGAGTACCACGTTCGAACACCAACTAACGTTGGAACATCCACTTGAGTAGATTGAAGACCAGACTAATGAAACGTTTTGTGTTGCAGCAAGTAAGGAAGAAAGTGCACTTGAGTACCACGTTTGAACGCCATTCAACGTTCGAACGTCCCTTGGAATCATTTAAAGAACAGACTTCTGCATAGAGTGTGGAAATGAACTTCACAGAAGACTACTTGAGTGGAAAAGGTCAGGCCCCATTTGGTGTTCAAACGTTTATAAAGCAAGACCAGAAGACACGTTCGAACGCCCCTAAAACAAAACAGAAGACAACGTTCGAATGTCCTCCTGCAGATTAGTTGGTTTTCATGGGCGGCATACACTATTCACTCATCCTCTCTTATCTTCTTGATTCCCCCCTCTCCTTCCTTGCCTATAAATACTCCCATGTTGGGAGCTTGAAGGGGCATTCTTTCTCTTGTAGAGTAAAGGAGTGCAAAATCTTTCTCTTGCAGAATAGAGTAGAAAGCTAGTTTTTGTATATCTCTTGTTTATATTTTCATTTTGCATTTGTATCAACCATGATGGAGGCTTAGACTCCCCTTGTAGTTGAAGTTTTTTATTTATTTATGCTAAGTCTTTACATTTATGTTATGACAACTATGATGGAGGCTTATACTCCCCTTGTAGTTGTACTTGCTTTTATTTACAAGTATCAAGAGAGATAGCTCATCTTTTAGTTGTGGTGAAAACCCTCCAAAAATAACTAGCTTTCTTCTACTTTTATTGTTTATGTATTTCACTTCCATTGCTTGAGCATTCTTCTTTCTTAGACGAGTGAAACTCTTCCACTTTTCTAGAGCATTACCAAAGCCGTGAAGGGTGGAACACGATTCACTTATTCTTCATGGAAGATAAGCTTTTTGTTTAGTTTTGCTTCACTTAGTAGCTCCTCTACTTGGAGGGATGAGTATCATTAACTCTTCTAACTGTACCAAAACCATGAAGAGTGAGTAGTTCCTTATTCACTCTTTAGTAAGAAGTGATAAATATGTAAAGATTACCCGGAAGTTATGTTTGTGCAATTCTTTTATGCTTTAATGCTTTATATTCCACTTGCTCATTTGATGATTGAATGCACCTAGCAAAGCTAAGGTACTTTGTATAAACAAGGGCTCCTTCTATGATATGGATGACTCCTACATAGAAAGACTTGTTGATTCAAGGCAAACACCCCGACTAGTTCTTCATGACAACCTTTAAATCTCCACCATTATTGCGCTTTATTCAAAAAAAGGACCATTAATGCCATGGTTGGATGCCTTGTAGAAACATTTACTTTTTTGTAGACGGGTTAAGTCTCGGCACAGACAATTCTTGTAAACTTCTAGAAAGGCATCAGAATCATGTGTTTAATTCTCACAGTCCATCTTTATCTTCCGATTAACTTGCTGTTGACATGAGAGTTAATTGAGTTATAAAACACAAACATAATAAACTGGATAATCAATTACATGTTCTGATCTTCAAACTAAGAGTGGTTGTTATCTTTGCCAATTTATCTTATATTTTGTCTAGAAAACTCTTGAAAAGAATCTTCTATTATATTCAAGAAACCCCACCACTCTAAATTCTCAAAATTTTCAATTACTTGGTCTCTATTATTGCTTACTTCAAAACATCAATCATAATTCCCTATGAATTCGACTCCGCACTTAACCGGATTATTACTACAACTTGACCGCATGCACTTGGGTATATACATTTCGGATCAAGTCAACTTTTTGGCGCCGTTGCTGGAGAACCATAAAAGGTGTTTATAGTAAAAGGTAAAAAGACCTCATTTTTTTATAAATTTGCTTTACTGTGTATAAAATTGTTTTTAGTTAATTTTATGTTTGAGAACGCTCCTCACTATCAAAATTTGCCAGCAGAATCTTTTGGGTCTGTGAATCAACTAGAACCACTTTCACCTAGATCAGTAACAG